GTAAAGCATGTTGTGTGGGATGCTGTGAAATCATCCTGCAGTCCTTAAAGAGGCATAAACAACTTCATGCCTCTAACTAACCCAGACAACAAAGAAAAATGGGAAAGAAAACGTATCACTGCATTTACTGATATCTCCTTATTTACCCTCATAAAGACTCCTTACACACATGAAGACATTTACAGAAGCTGAAGAAATGGCACTTCTGGAATGTAAGTCAACTTGGCTGACCACCATAAATCATACCATGATAAAACCTGGAAGAAGAAATGGACTTGGTGACCTAAGAAGTTGGTTCTGTCCCTGTGCTTTGTAAGCCCCCTTCTGCAGCCATCCTTATCTGATTAGAAGTTACTCAAGAGTTCTCTCTTCTTGCCAGCATGGCAAGATGGTAATATTCATCTGTCAGCTGTTAAGTATCTGGTACTGTAATTCATGGGGCAGAGGAAAATTTAAGTCTTCGAAGACAACAAAAGCACAAACAACTGTAAGGTGGCACTCAGCGCCTGACATGTTTCTCACTAATGAGGATTTAGTTTCACTTAAATATAGCCCTCAAATAACTCAGTAAACAATAATATAATCAGTCCTTGATACATAGAGCTTTCAGGCTTATCAAAGAATAATGCAAGCATGGATACGATAGTAAATACAAGGAAGACTTTGCAATGACAACATGGCACACACATGTATCTATAAAGACATTTGATAAGACATCATTTACCCTTATTTCCAGAGCCATAAACCCATTTCTTCTTCTTTAATAAGGTACGTCCAACAGCTTTAACAATATTCACAAAAAGGCTGCAAGCATTCTTTAAATGAGAAGGTAGGAGTATCCTGCAAGTACTTTTTTCAATGTGTTCCATAAAATTCAAGCTTTAGTGCCATATGAAAACAGCAAAGACAACAGAGAGAAGACAGAAGCAGCAGAAATGAATGCATTTTTGGTAAAATGAAAATAAAAAAATACGGCGGATCCAAGGTTTCTTTCAGCCATATGCCCAAGAGCAAACAACAGTGCAGTAAAAAAGAAATTGGTGTCTGCATTAAAGCTTCCATTTTTATTTTTTGGAAGATATCTGTCCCTCATAAATATTCAGTAATGATCCATTAAACATGAGATGTTTAAAAAATAACTTCTGACTAACCTGCCCCATTTATTTTAGCTCTGTTTGCAGCAACCATCACACTGAAATAGTGCCAGCTGACATCAGCAACTATTCAAGACTAGCCAAATACAGTTAAAACTCCAAAATATTTAATGTAAGTAATGTTGGATGAGTGGTATCCTCCTGACTCTCAGAGATACCTTTTTCGTTGCTCAAATGTAATAAATAATTGCTTTTTAGCTAGGAATGCTTTTCTTCAGAAATACTCCCTGCATTTAGGTTAGATTGTCAACAACAGGCTAAGAAAGCATAAGCTGTTGTAATTGTTTTCATGATGCTTTTTTGACAACAAGTCTTGCATCTGCAATCTGACTACTCACAATTTCTAAACCAGATTATAAAGCTAAACCCACACAAACCCTTAATGGATCAGGGTTTTATTTCCAGCGCTGCAAAAACTTCAGTTGTGGCCAAGTCTTATCAGCTATGGTGGCAGACAGATTACAGAAGATGTGCCACGGATAAGTACGAAGCACCACCAGCTTAAACCAATTACACACTTAGCACAAAGTTGTCAAACTACAGACAAATGCCAAATCCTAACATTTAATTTCTATAATGCTTATGAATCTTAAGGAGAATTATACTGAAAAGAGAGCCTGTAATAAACGCAACGACTGGGAGAACATAAGGTGGAAGGAACAGTATTGGGAAATGGGAGCTTTTAATGCTGTATAAGGGAACCGTGCTCACTGAAGAATTACCATTAAAGAATCAACACTGTTTTTATTTTGCTGTAACTCAACGGTTCAAGCCTATCTGCATATATTCACTGGCTGACATACCTACTAACATACCTTATACCTTAGGCCAGCTGACAGTACTTTCTTACGCAGTATGAAATAGAGTAAGCAAAAACTATCCATAGCTGTCCTAATTGCTCCTTACAGGCAGGAAAACGTGTGATAAAATGCATGTTTTGTGATTCACTTCCTCTGGTTTACTTGCTTCAGTGCTGCTAACCTGTAGCTTCTGATGGTCTTCCACAGAACTCCGGATAAAAAAATCTAGACAATCACTGTACCATTTAAGGCGCATAATTAGCAATTATTTCATGCACACTTCACAATAATAATCTGTTACATACTAAGGGGAAAGAAACATTAATGAGCTACTTCTGGTGCCGCTCTGTGTACTGTGTTTGCATAATAATGAGGTCCAATCTGCTGGAAAACACATAAAGGACAAATTAATAAGGTCGTCATTTTTGTCTAATGATGCTTAATACAGTTTTAGCAATCTGCTCAAGACAAAAGACGGTCACTCAGACATAGCCGATTATGCATTCGCGTGGCAGATGAAATCTTTATTAAACAGAATGATGAATCTGATTAACATGCGATAACAAATATACAGTCTGCGAAAATGACCGCGCCACCTCCTGCAAGCATCCCTCACGTCGACTATTAAGGCTTTACTCAGATTGAGGTCAGACTGGTATTCCCGATAGGCGCATTAAGATAAAAGTTTGCCAAATGTGGTAACATGATGAGCAAAACAATATCCTGTTATATAAAAGCTACTGCCTCAACAGCTGACTGTCTAATCAGTGATAGCAACAACTCCTTAATAAGTTTAAAAACTTAATCGTCAAAGTTTCCTTCACCTTTTCACATAGAGAAGAATTATATTAGCTCGGCTCCCTCTTAAAGCATCCTGCTTCTGAAGTGCTGTCATCTACCAAGTTGTTCTAGTTGCACAAAGACCACAAACACGAATACACAATTATTTAGAGTCATCTAAGGAACATAAATAACAGTATGAACTTATATGCCACTGATGTCACATAAAGCCTGAATAACCTAATGGAGGTTTCTAGGTCAGCAGCTAGCATGTGATGTAATTGAGTTTGTAGAAACATAACAGCAAATCTAAAAATCTTATTTTCAGCATAAATGTGTAATTTATATATAAGAAAGTAGGTTCTCAAAAAAAGATTTACCAAAATTTAATTTGATAATCACACCTGCAATTTAACTCATGAAAATACAGCATTACATCTAGTGGGTTACCAACCCTAGAAGTAAATCACAGATATCAAACCCAGTGATTCTACATTAAGCTTGTTTTGCTACATGATTTCTACTAAACGAATAATTCCCCATCTTCCAGACCTAACTGTACTTGATTTACAGAGAGCACATGACAGAAAGTACTTTAAGATGACTTACGATACCTCGTGACAACAAACATGATTTAACTTAGGGTAGGCAGCACTACAGACTACAACGTTAATTTCACTACCAGTATATTGCTCAATAACAGCAGGATCTGGTATTCAACGACACACAACTGGGAGCTAAAACTGACTCGATCACACTTCTTCACTTTAATGCATGTGTGTTTGTTCTGGCATATGGCAGCATATAACAAATCATAATTTTATACTCCCTTTACTCGTTCTACATGTCTTCATTTACATTCACATACTCCCAATTAAGGAAAAACAGCCACTTGATTTAAAGCAAGGAGATGATAGAATTAAAGCTGTATTTACCTCTAACATCATTCATTGCCAGCCCATTCCACCTTTCTAAATAAGGAGCATTACTTTTACCAGAGAAAAAAGAAGAGTGGCTTCTCCACAACTCTCACATTCAAGTCATCTGCCATATAAATCTAGTCATGGCACATACAGTTTGCAACAGATCCAAAGGAGAGATGTCAGTTCTGACAATTGTTTTACGGGTCTATTGAAGATAATGGGATCTTTTTTTCCCTCGAGTCTCTTTGAAACAAAGATGTGCATTAAGAGATTAGATATGTTTCTACTGAAAGCCACCAGCTTGCAGAACGACTCCCTAAAGCCAGATGTGGTCTTTTTTAGCCTGTGTTGCTCTTCCCTAGCCTAAGAGCTTACCAAGATTTCTTTCCACTGGACAGAAACAGAACATAAGAAAAGAGAAAGAGACATATTCAGGAAACATAACAATTAACCACATCTTTCTAGGTAAAGAAACAGAAGAAGTTAGGAGCTGCAGGTAGGCAAAGAGCACAACACTTGGTTATGTTAGACCAGCAAAAGCACATACTTGTAAACCCAATACCAGCTGATTACACATTTGTACCTGCTGCATCTGGTAGGAAGGGAGCCCTGTCCCCCTTCAATTGCCTACACAGAGAGCTGCATGAATGAAACTGCTGACATGGTTCAGTTTGCACAGCTAGTATTGAAAAACATCAAAGTGGAATTAAATTCGATTCTCTATCACCAATTAAATTCAATTATCTTTCTACCCGCAGTAGAAATGGAGGAAAATTCAGGAGATAGGTATCCTGAGGTTATTTGCAAAGTTCATTCACGATGAATCCCGTTCTTTACCTTAAAGCAAAGCATTATTAAATGTACAATAAAGCATACATACCTTTCTCATCTAGATTTCAAAGAGTTCTATTGACTTTGCTAACAGTGTTTGCTAACCTTACTGGAAACACAATACGTATAATTTTCATCCTGTTGTCTCCTTTAGACCTTATCCATGTTAATTATTCAGGGTCTGATTAATATTTTTGTGTCTGATGCTTTGTTCTGATTTTCCCTTCATGAAAGACATGGATAGCTGCTGCCTCTTTTCCTATCCCTCTTCATAAAGCATAATACCACAGACATTGCATCAAATTAGATGTAAATAATGAAAAATGTATTAAGGTATCTGAATACAGTTTTTAATATAGAAAATAATTTCAAATCTCTGTAGTAGAAATCAGATGAATAATATATAATCAATCTAGGTAAAAATTTCATTCTATCTTTAAAAGAAATTATATTTTAATATTTACAGTCACTCAGTAACCATTCTAGTGTACAAAATAAACCAGTTTACTTACCCATGACTGTGCTTTATTGCTGAAATGAATAACCTCAGCTCCTATCAAAGGGCACGGAGACATTGACTGGACTGTGCAGTTCCTGCACTGTAAGTAACTTGTCAGAGAATATTCCTTCTCATTCCAAACCGCATTTAAAGATAAACTGGCATTCGTGCCTTTCAGAAAGAAAGAAAGAAAGAAATGCTTCACATCAGCACCGGGAGATATTCTAAAGAAGTTAAGAGATCCTAGGATGCACTTCACAATTCAAAACTTAATTTTCATATTTTAGCAGAAAGTCCCACGATAAGGAACTCTTACTCATCTCTGCGAATTCAGTATCATTTAAAATAGAGCCTGTGTGAAAAAACCCACACACAATTGTGCTGTTCCAATAGTAGAACTGCCCATGCACTTGCAAATACCAATACTTTCCTTCTGGTTTCTGTCACCTGAATGTTGCTGAAGGATCACACACTGCAGTCTGATGCCTGCCTTCATTTCCTACCAAACACACTGCAGCTATAGAGACCTACTTTATATATCCACCGTGGCTGGGTATGCGCCTCTAATTCATAAGTTTTATTTGTTATAAGGAATGTGAACAATTCTCTTTTTGCTATTCTTATGCTTTCTTTTTGATCAGAATATTACGTAAGGACATGAGGAATTTGGGAATGGAGAGGAGCCTGGTGCCCATCGTCAGTGTTTGATTAAACATAAAGAGTTCCACAGATCTCAGCAGAGTTCTGCTGCTGGCTGGCTGGAGCTGTGAGCAAGCTGGTCTAGAGGAAGAACCAGTGTAAATTCAAACTACCACACTGGCAATAAAACATAATATTGTAAAATAAATTATTTCTTAGCAGAAGCATCATGAGACAAGATGATAAAGAGGTGAAGATCAGAAAAATGAAGTCAGGGTTACACAGCAACAGGTAACTGAAAAATCAATACCCAGATCTGACACAAAGAAAGCAATGACTGCAGCAACCACACTGAGCCAATGGGTAACGAAAGAAAACAAGTAGAGGGTACATTTTATAACTTGGTATCGTGTCACTCAAAAGGAGGAAATTTCCTAATAAGGAAAATATACAGAAAAAGATTTAGTATGGCTTTGAACGTTTTATGGAACAATTTAATGAAAGACAGGTTACAGTCTTTTTTGAACAATCCGGCGTTTCTCTTGGCTTATAAACATCTTCCAGTAAAAATATCTGCAAAACTTCTAAGTATATTGGAGGCTAAGTATTAATGGGGCAAAAGACTTGTACTGGTCCTCTCTATAGAAGGAAATTTCATACGTAGATCAAGAGATAAAAGCATGTTACCAAAATCAGGAATAGCTGGAGGAAATAAAAAGTATTTCTTTTAAAGCTGCAGGGTTTGACAAATGCTAAGTGGTATTTACCAATAATCAGTAAAATTTACCTTTGCTTTTCACTGGCATCTGATAAATCTTCAAAGTTTCTTTAAGATGACTGAGACTTGCAACATCTGTGATGACCAACATCATGTTATCATCATCTGAAGTGACATCTAGTTCACAGGTACAGTTATTACTGGATTCCTTACTTCTTACATGCGTACTTCTGAAGAGTTTCAAGATTACTTTCATCTCTATATCACCATAACAAGTTTTTCTCAAAATGCCTACAATTTAGAAAGAAGGGTATAAGACTTACATATACACATGGTTTTGAATGCAGCACTGTTCAAACATACTGCAAACTTTCCACATTCACAAGATGGTAACTTAGGCCCTGATCCAATACTGCCTTAAGTCAGTGAAAAGACTTCTATTAATGTAAATGGACCTTGGAAGAAGGCCTTATTTAATTTTATTTTTTTAATCCATCCAAAATTTGCTTTTCAGCAGATAGTTTTCCTTTTGCTGTAACTCCCAAATTGACTAAGGAGTTTGAATTCATTTTGGATAAAGTCACATATTTAAAATTTTCTTCAAGCTATGTCAGATTATTATGTTTTAAAATTCTCATCAACCGACATTTGAAATTCAATTTAAACAGCATTAAACTTCTTAGCGACAACGGACACCACGGTAACTGTTAGCATTAAAGTACCTCAGCAGCTCTAAGTGATTTTATTTAACACATAGGATTGCATCAAGAGCTTTTCTTCTTGCTACCATCTCTTCTTTGATGCCAGTTCTCTAACTGTTTCATTACTTAATGAGCTTCTGGGGCCGTTAAGAAGGGATGCTGTGGGACTATCCCACATCATAGTGGTTGCTGTAAGCATAACTCTGGGTGAGAAATAGGTCTCTGCTCATGTCTCCATCTCAATCTTCTTATCATTTCTAGCACCATCCAAAAATCCAGTATTCTGGCTTTCTTTCAAGCTCCAGAGATGTAATTCAATGCATACAAAGTCTTCTTACCTTTTGGTTTGTAAAACTGGGACCAGTTAAACCCACAACTATCAACTATCATAAAAAGATTCCTACATTCTCCTGGCACACAATGATTTCATATATCAAGTGTGTTAAGCACCTATTTCTAATTGTTTCTGCATGTAACTGATGACAACACACTCTAATTAGATCATTACCACATATGGCCTAATAGATTGAAAATACAGGGCGTTCTTAAGAAGTAGAAGAGTTATTACTAACATCAGCTTTTAGACTTTCCCAGAGTGAAGGACATCACAAAAATAGTAGAGGCAACTTTAGAACACATCTAGTTAACATTTCTTAAAATGTACCAGCGGAAGGCATAAAATCAAGCTGAACTAATATGATGTAGGTTACATAGTGAAGAACAGCAATGTAATCCTACAGTTCCAGTTTGTCAGCAGAACACTCACTGGCCTCATTACAACTTGTATTAGCTCCCTAGAGTTACTGTGCCAAGACACTACCAACTGGTAGCAAATTAACACTTAATCCTGAGAAGCAACACACCCCAGTGAATGGGTGACTGTGTTACAAATAATCTCTTTCAGCCTTCCATAATGCCAGGACAAGTTGCCCTCAGTTAACTCTTCAATGCCACTCAGATTACCGTTGTATTTCAAGATAAATCAATATATCTGGAACAATCATGACTTACCAAGCAAGAGAAATCTGTCTGGAAAACTACAATAAGAGTAATTCATTTTCACTGAAATACCACCTAGAATTTCCAGTAGAGAAATTAACCAATTATTCTAAAATATCCCCTCAGTATCCAACATTGTGAAAGTAAAAGGGTGAAGAATCCTACAGTTCCCAACCTGAAACAAATGATCAGTTTCATAGGTCTTACCTTCTGCTTTTGGTAGTATTTCTGCTCCGCAGATAATACAATAAAGTCCTCTCTTGCAAGGCTGTTGTTGGTTTTCCTTCTAATAAGCCAATATACGAGTTAATGTGAATAGTCCTTTGCATATACTAGCTGTGCATCTATGTACATTCAAGGACTTTAATATAGGACTTTAAATATAAACAAATTAATAAACGTATCAAATCTACTTGAGATATGAAACGCTCAAATTTATTCAACTCCACGTTTATCATTTATATTAACTCATAATGTAGTAAATGCTAAAATCATTTAACCTAACCTAAATAGAAATGGCTTTGTATAAAATATTTTACAGCCAATAATGCTGCAGACTGTCAGAGATTTAGACTAGAATTCTGCAGAGGAATCTTGAAAAATGGCCGACAGCTCTGTTTCAGTATGGTTATGTTCTAATACTGCAAATCATAGAATCACTAAGGTTGGAAAAGACCTCTAACATCAATAAGTCCAACCATCAATCCTGCCCTAAAAATTACTTTTGAGAAATTGGAATCATGGCTTATACTGAGGCAGGAATCCCATCTACAATGGGTTACGAGATGAGTCTATATGCTGGCAATAGCTGTGGCTTCCATCTGTGCTAACAGGACTTGGTAACACTTGGCCTTTTTGTTTCACATGGAAAACAAGGGTTTCTATTGATTGTAAAGACCTAGCGCAAACCATACAGACTACACACACACTGTTGCTGTGTGTTTATCCATGGATCATTTAAAAGATCATATAATAGACTGTATTTCCCCTGCAGCTTAACATTCAACAATAATCACTTCAACAGTGATATTTATCTACAGGGTACCTTTTTTTCACAGGTGTTGCCTCTTGCCCTAACAGTAGATTTTCCTCTTCTGTACTGTCTCTGAACTTTCAATCCTTTAATAAAGTCAAGATATTATGATTAGACATAAGAGACCACGTCAAACTAATACATATATGAAGAATTTTCAGTAATTTTGCTTTTCTACATTTGGGAAATCAAGCAACTCTAGGAAAGCTGGTTCATTGATTTTGCTTCCCTTCCACTTGCAGACTGGCAGTATTTAATATAATATTCTAAATTGCCATAAATTTTTTAACAAAAGAAAACAAATATTCTTACCCACTGAGATACTGAATGTTAGAACTAGTTAGAAGGATCAACAAAGATAGAATTTACACGGCTTTTACACCAAAAGAAACTCCCCCTTTCCTCTTCTTCCTCCTCTCCACCATTTCCTATGGGACAGTTCTTTCCAGAAGCCAGTCCCACAGAGAACTGCAACCTTCAATCAATTACTTAAATTTTAATCTGAAGTAGCTACGCTTCTCTTTAAATAAGTTCTATGTTTAAATGGCTCCCAACATTACAGCTTGCTTCTATCCTATCAAGTGGGAGCATGAACATAGTTACCATCATTACCTGATGACTATGGGAATTCCATAAACCTAAACGTGATGCTTACACAGCACCAGTAAAAGAAAATGCTTAACCAAATGGTAAACACTGCATAGTAATACTGGTTACAGAAACTGAACAATATTCTTTCCATCCTTGGACCTAATTTTATAAAGTTGTATTTATTACATAAAGAGAATTTAAATCACTTTTGACATGAACACATTCACAGTTATGTAGAGGTGGACATCAGAATGCTATTTAGATAAAATTCTGTAGAGAATGACCAGTAAAATTTTACTCAGCTCTCACTCAGAACATACAAATGGCCATAAAGCAGCTGTAAAAACCTTGCATCTGCATATTAATACACGATAGAAACAAACAATCTTTTCTTGAAAATCATGCCTGACATTTTATTACAGCAAAATCTTGGTTGGTGTTTTGACTGCAGTAAATCAAAGAAGTTTTTAAATGATTAAAAAAAAAAAAAAAAAAGCAGATTGAGGCAGATTTAAAGTTAGTTATGTACAAATTTACATTGTTATATATGGCATAGAAACTGTGCATGAAGGGCAAATGAGTCCTCATTTTGATGAGTACATACAAAATCTGACCCCCAAAGGTTATTATCCCCCAAAAGGAAATTTTAAAGAAACCTCAACTTCCATATAAAACAAAAAAAGATTAATTCAGAAGTCTATCATCATCAAATATCCAAGTGTGCAAATACTACTATTGCACAGCCTCTGTTTTAACACACTCATTTTAACAAAAGAAATGTGAGGGAAGAGAGTTCTGAAGAACATACACCTATTTCAGTATCCATTCTCAAGCTACAGTATTACTTGATCTGCAAAGCTGCTGTTATACATTTTGAATTAAAAAAACCCTAACAAATGCAGAAAACCCTAATTTTATATGGATTTTTTGCTTTCTGATGTAAACTCAACTGCTTGTGTTTAATAGCAGACTAATAAAACCTGTAAGACTCAGACTTCCTCGCCGTACAAGCAAGAGAATTTTCACACATGATACCTGTCCTCTGGTCATACAATTAGGGTGAAGAATTTTATATCTGCAGATAACTGAAGGGTGCATAATTTGCACAGTGAAAAACAAAAACAACATGATATATTGAACCTGATAACAGCATGTGAAAAAGAATGTGAATTGGAAAGCAATCGTTGCTCTCCAGTGAGGCTATGTTGTAAAGACTGCTCATCACATTTCCTATGGAAGCTGTCACTATGTGCTAGTATTGTCCAGTAAAAAAAGTGACACACCTTTATTTCTTGATCTGGAAAGACTGATTTTCCGTTTTTTGGTGTCCACCTCTTGAGATTCTACCTGTTCTGCTTCTTTTCCATTAGTCATCTTTTCAATATTAACTGCACTATTCTTACTGATATCATTCAGCATTGTTCCAAGTAAACCTGTGTTTCTGACATCATCATTAGTAATTGCTTTTGGCTCACTTAGTGTTTTTGAGGTATTGATTACAAAAAGATCATCAGCTACTGTGGGTTTTCCACATTCAATCTGATTCTCATCTGGATCTAGTGGTCTCATTTCCTGTTCCTCAGATTCTGTATCATCATAGAGCTCTGGAGTGAAGTAAAGGCTCTCATCCTCATCCTCAGCTTCTGCAGACACGTCTAACACTGAAAGCTCAGGCTTCCCTCCTACTGAAGGAAGCTCACTACTGGGCTCAGTGTGAAGCTTTTGCTCATCAAGATGCTCCTCAGCAACTGGAGCCTCTGTATTTTTGACTGAAAAATCAGTTGTTTCCAAATGTGACTCTGGTATACTTTGTTTATGTTCTAAAGTGAATGATGACTGGCACTGATTTACACCACCAATAAGTTCACTAGCACTGTTCACATTCTTTCTTTGTTTGCTGCTTGCTGTGGACATGCAGTTCGTGGCTACAGGCAAAGGTGTTGAAGTCAGTGGTTTAAAGCAGCAGTGCTCTTTCATAAAATCAGAATTAGTCCGATCGCTCTTTTTTTCTCTCTCTGTTTTAGTTGCAGGCCTTCTGGGTTTGGAGTCCATATGTTTTCTTCTTTGTGTTGCATTGTGAGAATGACTCTCCACATCAACTTTCTGGCCACCTGTGAAAAATCACAACACATTAATTAATTGTATATGCCTTCCCCCTGCTGATTTACAGCATGTTTAGCACATCAAAATTACCACTGTTTTATTAGGTTTGCAGATATTTTATAATGCTCATTAAGATCCAATACAAACAAAAGCCCAGATGTTACAACTATCTTTGCACATGAATTGTCTTAATGAAATCAATAGATTAACTGGCCCATGTAAAGTGAGAGCATATGTACAACTGGATTTCAAAACCTGTCTTTTTTACTCTTTATTCTCTTACATGATTTACATCTATCTTACTAGAAGTGAAATGACAAGCTTTTCTAAAATTGAGGAATGGATAGTTGCTTGTAAAGCTTTTATAGGAATTGATTGTACACAGGGAGTCTCACTGTATCTAAACAGCAGAGACAGTTTGAATCAAAGCAATAATTAAACCTTGCAATAATGTTCAAAATCACGTTTCAAGCCTATTTTAAATTATCTTCATATTCTTCCGATGACAAAATCAATTTAAGTGAAAGTAATTTTGATTGCACTGCAAACCTTTCAAACATTATCAGTTGTTTTAAGAGTAACTGCAGTATGCTGAGCACACCTCATATACATATGTGAATAATTATTTTCTATCATAGCATTTCAATACTTAAAAAAAATATATTTGTTTCTTCCAAGAGAGATACGAGTGAACACTTGAAATTGTTAATGAAGCCCTTTCCCCCCCACAGGAAATGAACATACTTTGCTGCATTATTGCTGTGATATTACTTGGCTGATTTGATGGTTCGGGATTAATTGAGTCGATGGTTGTAGTTAAATGAGTTCCTGGGACCAAACTTTGCTCCTCAGTTTTAACAGGAACATCTGGTGACAGGTGAATAGTTGCCTCCTGTTGAGAAGCTGATGACAGCTCTTTTGAATTTAAAGGTACATGGGAAAATTCATTGCTACCCTGTGATGAAAAATCAATGCCTTTCTGGTTTCTTTCAGCAAATGCATGTAAGGATTCAAGTGCACTACCAAAATTTTCATGATGCTGGACTTGTTGACGAATCCATTTAGATAATCCTAATGGGGGAGGAAAAAAAGAAGCATTACAACAAAACTACATTATGTATACCCAGTTTTATTATTATATATGCACTGCTTTTATGCCTGAGTATTCATTTTTCTTGTTATTGAGAATTATTAAAAAGAAACTTAGAGTATAGATAATTATGACTGTACTAAAAAGTTATGACAGAAACTAGAATTTAAGTAAATCAAAGCTTTATTTCAGATTAAGCAAGATATTCAGAAATAACCACAACTGTCAATTGCAAAAAAATAAAATGCAATATGCTTTCATACAGCAATCATTTTTACAGCTCTCAAATAGCAGAACAGATACAAATGCATCTCAGGAAGCAGAAGGGATATAATTTGAATGCATTGTTGTGCAAAAGACATGTCAGAAAATGGTTTGACTCCTACCGTGGCAGCTGAGCTCCACCTGCTGACGAGACACAACATTATCAGTTGACTCCTCCACAGATCTTTTCCAAACCGATCAGGAATAAAGACACACAGTGCATTGTCTCCTAAGCAATTTCTTTTCAACTGCAGATTTTTAGTTTCATGGCTATGCTTTGTTACCTCCTACACTCATATTTCTGTAATCTTCATTAATTGATAGGAACTTTCCCAAAAAGATTTATTTATTTTATCATTTTAAACAGCTTACCAGTTATGTACTTGTTAGGGTTATTCCGGAAGCGGTCATCAACTAAGATAAGGGCACCCCAATCACTCCTATGCCTTATACACCTACAGCAATGAAAAAAAGAATGTCTGTATAACTAGAGGCCATATAGTAAAAAACTGTGGGGATCAGACAGGAGAAACAGTAAAGAGGCAGCCTGCTGGGATATGCAAAAATATACAGAGCATCTCCCTACTCCCTTGCAGCAAATAATGTTCATTCTGGATGCATGAATGGTACTATCAGAGTGTATCACAGAAGCTTAATTTTCCTTCATTTCCATTACTATGCGGAAACACATTAAAACCAAACAAATATTCAGCATCTAATCAAACCATATATTTGTTTTCTACTCTTAACTGGACAAATTAAATACTGAAAGGAGAAAACATAAGAAAAAAGGAGAAAAAATTAACTCCAATGCAATGGCAAGCATGTGGGGTTTTTTAAAATGACCTAGGCATTTTCATAAAGCAATGTATAGAGGTGCAGATCAAAGCTGTGGGTGATACTGTTTAGTTTGTAGCTGAGGTTTTATAGACCTCCAAAAATGTTCCAGTATTCACTTCTCACGCATTGACATTTTTAACATTATTTGGATTTCCATACTGCCTCCCAATAATAACATGAGTGAAATATGGAAAACAATCTGTCAGTGATAGTTCAGGATTATTACCCCCATTGCTTAAGAAGTGGACAGTTTTTGAAGACATTTGCAAACGTACATGAAAACACAAGTGTATCAGTCAGGGCTTAAAGTGGCAACACCAAAGAAACGATAATTGTTCACATTTGAGATGTCTCCACAATGAGAAGAGCTTTATTCAGAAACAGGCTTCTTCCCACTTCTCATTTTTAAGGGTTGACTCATAGTTTAGATGAATGACACACGCTGGAGAGACATCCTGCACTTTTAGGAGAAGCAGCACTGCAAGGAATTCATTGCATGGTGTCACCTGGCCATACACACCATCTGTTCAATTCCCAAAGGCTGCTGTTTCATTTCAAAGACTCGTGTTACTTCATATACTGTAAGAGCACTGAATTAAGAGAAAAGTGCCAGACTGAGGACTAGCACACTTCTGCTCACTTCCATCCCTGCAGGCATCTACAGCAACTACTGTTTGTGTACCTACAGCAACTACTTCCTGTGTCTGCCCCAAGAAGCTATACTTCATAATAACTTAGTAGGCTGTTCTGTTCTTATAAGAACTGTCATCATTTGCCATCATTCTTTACCAAACCTCAGCCAGTAAGGACTTAGTCCAACAATAATGCACACCATTTTCATGTTTGTTTCAGAATGGAAGCCTATTTCCCCCTGTCAAATTTCGACTAGCACAAGTTCATTCACATGACAAATGATACAACAAGCAATTTCACTAAAGCTAGAATCAAGTTAAAATTTATTTCACAGTGACAAAGCTTCAAATCAATTTCTTACTGCTAGCACTGCACCACTTCTATTAGCTTTTTTCTTAGCTAATTATAACTAAGAGGAACTTAAGAATGTACGATCTAAAGCAACAAGAATTTACAATGAGATTTTATTTACTTAGACTATATTGTCTCAAGTTTGTTCCTAAACCTCCATTCATATCACTGTATGTTGTCTGTGCCTCCATCATACACACGTATAATATACATACATGTACAGCATCTACATTAAATGCAGCTGATAGATAGCTATACAGTAGCTATCTGCATACAGTAAACTCTGTTGGGGAAGGATGAACTAATTCTGTTCTGTTAATAAAATTTGAGTGAATTATTTCATTTCAGAAAGTAAGCTATACCACTTCTAAATCTGGAAAGAGATCAGCAAGCACGATAACTGAATTGACCTTTAGCAAAGGCCTGCAAAAAAACAGAACAAAACAAATATTTATCCCTTTCAAAAATACTGTAGGATAAACATAAAAAAAAATGTCTAAGCTCACCAAGAGTATAATTAGCACATTAGAAAAGACCTAAGATTTTTTCATTTGATTTGTAAGCTCAGTAATTATTCCTCCTCTGCAGATGCTTTCCTTTCTGTATCTGAAGTAACAACAAATGAACCTGCAGCCTAACTTTGCAGGATGAAAAATGAAAATTCTGAACTCTTAACAGTGCTCAAATGCACAACAACTGGCAGACAGCTGCCAGTACAGAGCAGTTGAATACCTGATTTATGCAGTATCAGTTTTCTGGTCTGATTTACCCAGTGTTAATAACGAGGAATCAGTCATTGAAGATGTCACATACAAAAAGTTCTACAAATATGCATGTTCTTAATCACACTAGGTTTATCTCACCTTCCCAGGGCCTGATTCAGAGCCCTGTAAGCCTGGATTTCATACCACTGGCTCCCTGATAAAAGGCCTCTTGTAGTTTTATGCTGATCATTATACTTCCTCTTTAATTCAACCTAAAAAAGAAATCACAAAATATTGTTTGCGATTATGCTCTTAAAAAGAAAATATTCTAAAATGGAAAAAGAATCAGAGCCTGATTTAATCAGTGGATATTATAAGGTAAAAAAGAGTTTCTTAGATAAAATAGATCAGAAACAACATTGATAGAAAGTCTTCCAAGTTTTGTCTACAGTTATCATTTATCCACAATAGTGATGCAGCAAAGGCTTCAATGTTCCAAGCTGCCAAAGTCAAAATATGCAACTGATTCATACCTGCAATTTAAATGGACCAAGTACAATAAACTGGAAACATATCATCAGATCTGCTATGCAGCAATAGGAATTTGAAAACATTCAGTACAAATTTCACAACACAGAAGACTGCACCTGCATTACATAAACACTTCAGGAGCGTTTTAACAACAATGACTTAATACACAGAACATTTCTAACCATAAAACATTTGAAAGGTCTCATATCTTTGGCCAAGAGAGTCCCTTAACTACAAGGCTCAAGTTTGCAATCAGCAGGTTATGAAGTTGGGAATTCCTCTGGTGTGCCAAAAGGAAATGCTGGAAGCTCCAGAAGACAGCAGCTCTATAACCTATTTTGGTGCAGAACCCCCTGAATGTTGGTTGCCAGTAGCTGTACTTCAATTATTAACCAGAGTGCGTGCCAGGACACTGCCTTATAACCCAGCATCAGTATCCAGCAGGCAGCAAGCTGCTCTAGCCACAAAAGAATGAATTCCACCACGCTCATCAGGACGACCATCAATACCCCTTTTACTCACAGATCATACCAGGCAGACGTAGAGGGTTCTAATATTTACTCAATCTTTGAAGGCATGTTTGAAGTGCAGAAAAATACACTGTAACAGCACAATTTGAAGCAAAAACAGAGGGGGCACGTAATTGGCTCAAGCTGCAACAGTACCCTCAGAGCGAGCTCCTGCTGCCCACTGCCTTTTGCTGTATGATGCAGTATTAAGCTACCCAGTATTTCAGGCTGGGAAATAGTAGAAGAAGCGGCCTCTCCCACTGCTCCAAAGGCAGCTCTGACAACAACTGCAAAATAAATTCCTCGATTCCCTTTTCTGACCATCTGGGCAACTGCGCGTGAACTGCCTGACCTGAACCGGAGCAAGAATTGGTTCAACTAACATTATGCACAGTTATAATAACATACAGCAAAAGAATTTCTCCTGACCGTGGGGGAGCTGATGGTTGCGTTTGTTTAGGTTTTTATTTTTAAACAAACCAAACTACACCAACAAGGGTCCTGCCTTTGCTCTTTCGTACAGTATTAACCTTTCTAAACTGACAAGTGAAAGGACACGCTTCAGGAGAGAAAACAGCAGACTTCTAACCTCTTCTGACAGGTAACTTTCAAGTTGGATTTGGGTAAGAAATTTTATTTTATGTACTTATGCCCTTTAAATTGCCTGTCAAATTTACAAATTCAATCTTTACAGCCAGAAAATAAATTCAGTTTGATTTCACAGATTTAATATTTGTTCCAGTCACCCTGAATTTATTGACTGGCATATGAGGTCTCCTTTGTAATTTTCAAAACAGAAGATGATTTCTTCAGAGCAGCTTAGGAGCATTAGTACCATTCTTTAAGAAGGAACCAAAGCATAACTGAGCATTTCCACATATGTAGGTGCTACCTGGAGGAACAACAGGGTACTCCTCAACATTGGAAGTGAGGTTGGAGAATTTCACTCAAGTTTTTAAAAGCCTAACCAATGGCAAATGGTAACAGGAGAAGGCAGAACAGCCAGATCATCTCCATCACAACGTATTATCCTGTAAATAAAATGCACTGATACTACAAGCCAATACATGTCAGCATTATGGAAATGAATACAACTTGTAATGCCCATCAACAATGGCATTTTGTTTTTCAAATTATAAAAAAATAAGTCACTATTTGCATTGGTCTTTTCTATCTTATTGAATAAAGGGTTAACAGAAAATAAACACTGGGTTTTCTCACTTTGACGATCTTGTCTCAGCATGAGATGACAACTTACGTTGCTGAGAGTTCAGTTTTCATTATAAGTCTACGAAAGGTAAAAGGCCAGGGCATGTCATTTTAATGCAATCAGAATCTATTTCATTGTATAACTCTTACATTACCAAGCATCAAATCAACGCCCGATTCAAAATGACATGTTGCATATGTGAAAAAGCCAGTCTCTCCTGCTAGCAAATATCCTAAATGCGCAGTAAACCACAGGCTAGAAGGGATTAGTTAAAATGTCAGAAGACAGCCTTTTACTTTTACCTGTTCATCCTTAAAAATATACTCTTAGCTATCAGGCATGCTTTACAGACAAATAGCTTCAGCAGGCAGCAGCAGAAGGCCCGTGGCAAGCTCTGCCATCTTGTAGCTGTCAGACAGATTAGGCTTTGATCTATCTGGGAGGTCACGGTCACATTCACATTTACTGAAGTCTAACAGCATTATACCTGCTAACCGCTCGTTCTTTTAATGCTTAATTAGTTCGACATCTTTCACTACAGAATATCAACTGAGAAATAGCAACAAAAAGTAAATGCCATGAACAAAGTTTCCTATTTAAGACTTGGAAAAATCTTTGGAGGCCGTTTCTACTACCACTCGAAAGAATTTTTGAATGTTTTTTTTTTTTTAATCCAACTCAGTAAAACGAGTTTGCTTTTTTTCCCCAACAATTGCATTAAATATTCTACAATTCTCATTATACCGCATTTTTAAGTGTTGACAACTCAGGAAAAGAGGATAAACAACAAGTACACACCTGAAGAAACCCAGGTTAATTCAAATGATACATAAATAAGTAACAAAGTAGGTTTATACTGTAGTTAATATGGACTGCATTTGTCAGCCTATGACACGAACCTCAGAAGAGTAGAGATTGTTTCTGACCCCCAAAATAACATGCACATGTACCTGCAGAAGCCTGCAGCCTTTCAGCAGTATGCCTGCCTGACCAGATGTATTCAAAATTAACATAACGTGGCTGTATCTAACAGCAGGATATAAAAATAGTTATCTATTATGAGCTGGTTGCTTAAACAGGACAAAAAAAAAAATCAGTGGAAAAAACACAAAACCAGAAGAGGCATTTTTTCTTTCCTTAGAATTGAGTTCTTTCATTTCTGCAAACAGAATTCTGCTCCTTACCAACGTCTGCCCTTAGGTCAGCACCCAGCAGTGCTGTACTAGGCTAAGGAGTCAACTGCCCGAAGGACAAAGGCAAATAACCTGAGAGCTGTATGATACAAACACACACGCATAGGCAGGGATACAAAGACACACTTGGAAACTCATGCCCAAATCTCCTCAGCGTTCTCCTGCATGGAAATGAAAAACAGAAAAGGGGTATGAATATTTTCTGGCATTTCAGTAGCTTCTTTATCACAGGACAAACGGCAATGGAAATGAAGACTATTGTCTGTGTCATGCAGTGAACTTCACAACATGCATTTCAGTTTAACATCTAATTCCCCGCCTCCTGAAAACCAACACAAATTCAGGTGATCACCTCATTCCCCACCTTTCACCCCTTGTCCCCTAAAAAGACATAAAAATGGTTTTTAAGCAAATCTACCCTCTTAAAAACCTCATGCATCTCTCCCCCACCTGAAATAGCAATAATCAGGATTCTCCAAGAATATGCTTGCCACCTACTTTCCTCCTGACGAATGCCAAGGAATCATAAAAATCATGCAAGTGCAGGAAAGTAAAAGACATGAAAACCTTTTTTTTTTTTTTCTTTTACATGTGAGAACTCTTAAACGGAAGAAGCATTAAATGGCACAGCTTTTAACTTTTCCTTCCTTGCTTCGAAAGTAGTAACAACATCTGAGAGATTTAAGACTAAATAATGCACGTACACAGACACAGGCGAGGCACAAGACTCACCTATCTAAACACATAACCTCAACTTATTAGCCCATTATTTGAGATGAAAAGTATTGCAGTAGGATATTATCTTCAAATGCTCCAGGCATTCCAAGTACAAAGAGATTTAACATAACAGTACGAAATAAGCAAATGCTCATCATCTACAGTTCATTAGAGTCTGTGTATTACAATTACTTATGAAGGCCATTCCAACCAATTCATGTATCTAAATATTGCAATCAGATACATAAATAACACTACTCTGCTTTCACACACAATGCATTTAAAAAAAGAAAACATACAAAACTGTGAGCAAAGTAACACTGTATACTACAAAAAGGTTGATAGGGGCTGGAGAGGCTCAGTGCTGCAGCTCCATCCTGCACAGGTCTCTTTACCAGGTGAATCACCTCTCCCCTTGCAGGGGCTTCCAATTCAAACCAACAGTTCTGAGTAGCAAAGCCACACCATGGCATATCAGTCTACTAACTGGCCAACCCTACCTTCAGGGAAGAAAAGCAGCAGTACCACTTTATGCAAAGCCGTATTTCCTCCCTTATGTGCTCACAAGTTATTTTATGACTAAACGCTTCCCAAGTATTCTCGCTCTTAATCCCAGTGTTAAAGAGATGGGAAGCTTATGTAACGCTGCAACCTCCGAACACTTTGAGTATTGTCAACTACACCATGCGGCATCTCCGATCCTGGGGTTTCACAGTTTGACAAACCTTGTAGCACATTCACCCCAGGCCCATCTACTCATCTCAGTCTTGTAGGCTTGGAGGGACTGTGAACAAGTGACTTGATTAAAATCTAATGCAACCAAAACTGCGCTCTGAAGAGAAAATTCAATCCATTTCCACTGAAGCAGAAGTGAAAAAAATCAAGCAGCTTCCCCTGAGGTACAAGGTTGCTGTGTACGCTCGGTGCTGCTGCGGCAGAGGTGAAGTGGTAAGTGTCAGTCATCCTTACAAATCCCCAAGGTGATAGCTTCACTTTTAAAGCTTTCAACATACTTTGACAGTGAAGTAAAAACTTAAAGGTCAACGCTACTTGCTAAGGATAAGATAAACACAAGAAAATCACTTCAGAATTTTTTATGGATCATAAAAGTA